TTTTTCTAATTACTTCTAATTATTTCTTATCTTCCCTAGTAGGTTTTTAATTCTTCTGCTTTTTTAGCTTAGAATATTATAGTAAAATATATCTAATCTTATTATAGTTATAATACTTATATTTTTCTATAGCTCCTAGCTCTATAGGGTCTATATATATTCTAAAGACTATAGATTATTATTATAGTTATAGTTAACTAGTATTAATATAGTAGATTATCTTTTTACTATATATTTACTAATAATACTATTAATTATTAATTCTTATAGCTATAGTTATATATTTATAAATATTAATTAGCCTGTTTTCCTTATAGAGTTCCTTTTAGATTTCTTTTTTTAATCTTTTAAAATAGTAAAATATAATATATTTTTAATTTTATTTAGTTTTTACTAAAAGCTAGAGATACTTATTACTAAAGATAGAGATAGATCTAATTTAAAAGAGTTTATTAATTTTATATTCTATCTTATATCTCTTATCTTAAATTCTAAAAGTTTATTAGAGAGTCTCTATAAAGTAATTAAAATTTATTATAATATTAATAGTTTATTAGCTTCTTTAGCTATTAAAATATTCTCTTATAATAGATTTAAACTAATTAAGTATAGCTCTCTTAAGTTATAAATAGATATAGATAACTTATTATTTATTACTATTAAAAGTAATAAGAAAATAATTAAAGTATATTTAAAGTTAGATTATAAAACCTTAAAGCTTATCTTAGATTCTATTAAATATCTTAGATAATAGTAGTTTAAATAGTACTTCTAACTCTCTTTCTTAAGCTATAGTCTAGACCTAAGCTTAAAGATTAGTATTCTAAATAGTTTATTATTCTATAAGAGTAGTAGTAATAATTATTTCTTACTATATAATTATAAGGTATTCCTAAAGCTAAAGGATCTAAGCTTATAGGAACTTAATTTTAATATTATTATTTCTATTACTACTATTATTACTACTATCTTTATCTATAGTATTATTATTATTTAGAGTAGATAGATTATTAGTAATAGAGTTCTATTATTAAGCTAGAGGAACTATAGTAGCTATAATATCTTCTTTATTATTATATAGTAATTAAGATAAGATAATTAGCTAAATAAGAGTTATTAATATATAATAATTAGATTAATTTATATTAGATAGGATCTAGAGTAGATTAGAATTAAACTAATTAGAATATTATTCTAAGTAATATAATTAGATTATCTTTAAACTATATAATATAAGTTACTATTAATATATAAATATTATAGAGCTAGTAATAATAGATATATAGATAATTATATTAATAACTATCTAAAGGATATTTTATTTAGTAAAATAAATATATATATATACTAGAGGATTATTAATACTTAGTAATAATCTATTATTCTGAATTATTAGAATTATTATAAGATCCTAATAATCTATTAATAATTAGTTAGATAAAGTAGGGTAATCTATATAACTTTAATATATAATAATATAATTTATAATACTGCTGATTATCTAAATATAAGTTACAGAACTTATCTATACTACTCAAGGAGGGAGGAAGAGGAGGTGCTGATTTTTATTTGCTCATGTACATGCATATATATATATATATTGAAAATACAACTTGGGGTATAATTAGAAAGTCTGCTAAAGGACCGCCAAATAGTATAATTATATAAAAAATACTGATCTTCTTTAATTTAGTAGGGATTACTATATAAAAAAAAGGATATAGGTTCTACTTTATATAACTTTACTATTATCTTATTATACCCCTGACTTTAAGGTATTAGGCTAGTAGGGGTAGCTAAGATATCTATAAGAGGTTTAGTTACTAAGAGATTTTACTTATTCTACTATAAACTATATATTTTTTTAGTAGATATTAATAGCAGGGTAAATATAGTTTAGTAGATATATAAACTATATAATCTTAAGATCTAGCTTATAGTATTAAGCTCTTTTATTAATAATAAATATAGACTTCTCCCTATAGATTATTAAATAGATTATTAAGAATAATAAGTTAGAAAGTAATCTTACAGCTATTTTATCTATTCTTAATTTAGTAAAGAGTAGCTTAGATAATAAAGTTACTTAGTAATATTATAACTTTAAAATCCCTAATAATAAATATATTATAAGGCTATATTATAATAACCTAGAAGATATAGTAGATTTTAAGAAGTTATTTCTTTCTTTACTAAAAAAGAGATTTTATAATTTATTTTATATAATTAAGTATACTTTTTATACTTTTTATAAGTAGCTAAGAATTAATATAACCCTTTATAATATATAGTATTAAACTATTAAATTTAAGATAATAGTTTTCCTATAGTTATATATATTTAATAAGCTATAAAGAAATATAGCTTATAGGTTTAAAATTAGCTAATCTGATATATTAGTAATATTTTATTAGATCTTAGATCTAATAAGATAACTATATACTACTTTTATAAAGTAACTAGATCTAACTTATCTCTCTTATAAGATTAAACTTTAAGAGAAGTTTATATAATTTAATAGAGCTATTAGAGTAATTAATAGAATATATATTCTAATATTTATCCCTCTAGCTAACTAGAAGAGATTCTAGTTAAGGAAGAATAATATATCTTAAAATATACTTATAATAATAAGCTTTAATAGCCTATTTACTTATATATTAGCTAGAGGTAAAAGCTTAATCTATAACTTAATATTACTTATATATATATATTTAAAATCTCTTTAAATTTCTTAAAATTAATATCTACTTATAGATATAGAGTTTAAGTTTTACTAAGGAATAATAACTCTGTTTAAGAATATATATTACCTCTTAGAATTCTAAGATTATAATAAGCTACTATATAATATAGAGGATCTTTTTAATCTTTATTATATCTAGCTATAGAGCTAGATTAAGAGAATATTTAGCTACCTTAAGTAGAAGTAGAAGATTATTAGATATAGTATCTCTAAATATATATTTATTAATTAAATTAAGATTATATATACTATAACCAGCCTATATAACTTTATTATATTTAATAGGGTACTATCTTAAGCTACTTTATAAAGGGAAATACAGATACTTATCTTATTAGACTAGTAAACTTTTATATATACTATATATTATACTAATTAGATTATCTTAATCTATACTATAAAGTAGCTCTATAAATATATTAAGAATTAGATCTGAGAGTAATATTATTAATATCTGGATTCTGAATCTAATAAAGAAAATAATAATAAATTAAATAAGAATAATCTAATCTTATAGAAAGGATTTTTAGTAGAGTTATTATTAAGTATATAGAGAGATTATTAGTTAAAGATATATAAATTTAATAGCTAGCTAGCTATCTTAGAGAGATATAAGGCTATATAGGAAAAAGCTCTACTAAGTATCTTACTTATAAATAGCTTTATAACCTACTACTCTATAAAGAGTTAAACTTTATCTTTATATATAGGCTTTTTATATTACCTAATAGTAAATTTAATTATAGAATTATATTCTTTAGCTCTAAATTTATCTAATCTACTACTTTTAATTCTAATTCTAGATTATTTAGACTGAAAAACTAAAAGTAGTTTTCTAACCCTCTCTTTAGTATATCAGGCTATACTAGAAAAGTTATAATTATATAAGATTATATTTAGGGTACTATAAATATATTAGCTAACTACTTAAAGCTAGCCCCTATAGTAAGTTATAAAATCTTTCTCTTTCTTAATTTTTAAAGTATATTATTAATATTATTTATAGGAAATTTTAAAGAGAGCTACTATAATCCTTATCTAGCTTAAGAGCCTTCTCTTCTATAAAGAGGGATTAGTATTATAGATAAAGATATCTATTATAATATTAGTAAGATAGTATCTAGATTACTCTTATTAAATTATATCTAATCTATAGCTATAGAATTAGATATTCCCTCCTCTTATATTTCTATAAAATTATTATCTATTTATTTAACTATAGTAGAATTACTTTCTTATAGCTCTTAGATTATCTCTTTAAATATACTATTATTATAGATTTTAATAATTAACTAGCTAGTTAGAAGATCTTTTATAAATATCTCAGATTACTTATTAAAGATAATACTATCTGAAATTATAAGGTTTTTATTAATAATCTTATTACTATATTAGGAATATATCTACTTAATCTACTACTTATTATTATTATTAATCTCTAGTATTCTAATTTCTATATTATATTCTATACTACTCTAACTCTTAGTCTCTTAAAAAGCTCTTTAAAAATCTTAAATATAATAATATTAGGTTTTAAGGATTAGTAGAGACTATTTATTAGATTAAATAAACTACTTACTAAAGAGCTTAATAAACCCTTAAAGAATAGCTCTAATAAATATATTCTTATTACTATATAGTTTCTCTTCCTAATAAGCTTTAAATAATAGCTCTAATAGGATAAGTATCTCCTCTGAACTCTAATAAATATAAGATACTTATAATTAGGAGCTACTATTACTTAATATAGATATAGTAGTTATTTAGTAACCTTATAGTATTCTAATAGTTATTAGATTATATAGAGTAATCTCCTTAACCCCTTAAAAAATACTATAATCTTATAGTATTATTAAATTTAATAGGAAAGTAGTAAGTTAGGCTTATAAAAGAGGGATAGTTAGGTTTTATTATATATAGGATAATATATAAGTATATTTTAACTCGATTCCCCGCTTGAAGGAGTACCTAGGTACCTGTTTGGTATCTCTTGGCATACTTTGGCGGACTTTCCAATCACACCCTTGATTTACCCACACAGCCACGGCCAGGAAAACAGGATATCGTTTGTACCCAAGTGCTGGTTGGGCCGACATTATCCCCTCTCTAAAAGGTCTCGCTGCTTCATCTCCTTCATTCGCAGCGCGTCAACCTCGAGATTCTTCACTATCTCTCTATCATCAACATCTCTCTATCATCAACATCTCTCTATCATCAACATCTCTCTATCATCAAAATACACCTACAGGAGGTCATGGCGCAGCTTGACAGCCTCCCCGCTGAGATTGTAAATCATCTCCTGGGGTTTATCCCCAGATCTGATCTCGTGGCTCTATCCTATGTCAGCCAAGCCCTGCGCCGATCAGCCGAGCCATTTCTGTATGCGAACATTGCTTTTGACTGGGACTATCGTCAGGTGCCTCCGGTCGTCCCTCTTCTTCGCACCCTCCTCCGGAGGCCAGAGCTTTTCGCCTACATAGACTCTGTGACCATGGTTGGAAACGAGTTTGCCATTGGAACACGACCTAAACCTCTGGACCCAACCAAGATGCCGTTGGATTCTTTTCAAGCCGCGATCGAGAAGACCCAGGTGCCTTATACCAGTCTCTGGATTGAGCAATTGAAATCGGGTTCAGGAAGCATGGATGCGCTTATTGGTCTGTTCATTGCCAATCTTTGCAAGATAAGATTCCTCGCAATCACACACAACTTCATCTCCGGGTTCCAAATCACCAGTCGAGTCCTGCAGTCCAAGATCCTTGGCCAGATACCCAATTACTCTGCAGTCTTTGGCCAGCTGCCCAGATTCGAACAGCTGAACCGGCTCATTTATTACAAGGAGCGCTCCGCTTCAGACATTGGCATCTTCCCAGAGGTGATGTCTCTATTTTATCTTCCAACAGCCAGTGACTTGGTTGTCAATATACCGAACCCCCAGATGCCATTTGAATGGCCGGCAGGAGAGCCTGACCTCAGCCACCTGACCTCGCTCGAGGTTGATTGGGTCTATCCGCGCTGCTTGGCTGAGATTCTTGAGCACACACGTAATCTGAAAACGCTCTACTGGAATTGGCAATATAATGAGTACGGCACTGAGAGATCTGGCTCTCTATTGGACTATGATCACATCACGACGGCCCTAATACCCCTCAGGAGAACGTTGGAGAGGTTCCATTTCCGCTTGGAGGGGAGCTCGCTTGAGTATATTGACGAGGGGATAGCCACTACAGGATCATGGGATGGCCTTCACGACTTTGAGCGTCTCGTCCATCTTGATGTTCCCCTGATTTCTCTTACCGGCGTGGACGTTGTACCTGAACCCATGGAGCGCCATATCCCGCCCAGCGTCGAGACGCTCTGCCTCACGCCCGCCATGCTGATTCATGAAGAGGCAGTCTTGTGGGTTTTATATCCGGCAGATGCCCCACAAGAGGAGCTTGAGCAGTTGGTTATAGAGGACTGGCACCCCGAAGGAGAAGTAATCAAGCCGATCAAGGCGTTGGCGGAGAATTGTCCACAAGCGCTGCCACGGCTTCGTCGCATAGACTTCCTGGGGGAGGGGGGGACATGGAACAGGCGGATGGATACGTTGATGAGCGAGGCTAATCTTGAGTATGACGTTGAGCTCCGGGTGACACACGAGGAAGACTGGCATAAACGCCACCTTCCCGACTATGTATTTGATATCTAGATGGACAGATCACTACCCAGTAAGTAATCTACGGGAGGTTACAGTTGCCAGCGTACGTTGTCCACCAAGTGGGTGACAAAAGAGATGAGACACCAAACGAGTACTTCAAGCGTCCATATTTGAAGAGGCTCTGTATTGTGTTTACCACAATTTGATTCTAAGTTACCTTAAAAAGACCAAAATAGGACTTTAATATTTTTTTAGAAGCTAATAAGAGGATTAATATGCTTTTTTAGGGGTTATTGTATCTTTATTATAGCATTTGATGGCTACAAAGAGGGCACAAGAATTTGGAATCTCATCTCTTACGTCACCCAGTTGTCCACATTGCCTGTTTACTGTGCTCTTTTCTCGTAAACAAGACAAAGAATATCACGTGTGAAGGGGAAAATCAATAAATTCGTAGACAGAATGAACCACAATAGCATTTCCTCTCACTATATCCTACCAGAAAGCTAACTTATTGATCACTCTATTCCTCCCAAAAGCCGGATGAGTTTTGACAAATCACCTCTGGGAGGAGCTTGGTCTGATCGCCTGTGCAATGCATGTAACCCAGACAAAAGTTCGCTCTGCGCTCTATGCTCTCAACGCCGCACCTTTTCAGTTCCCTCAGCCGCTCTGCCCAGAAGCTCCATCTCTGAGGGCTGTAACCAGTGGGGGATAAATCAGTGATGCTATCATGTTGCAGTGCTAGCTCGCCGAGGCCAGATAAGTGAGGGTGATCTGCATGCTTAGTCTTGATTTTGCTAGTAGTACTGGCGCTCAAGATGGCAAGACTGTATCCCGAGTTTTGAAGCAAGTCTGTAAGAGCTTCTAGCAGATCCTCCAGTGGCAAGAGTGAATCGGAGGCTTCCTTGATATCTGCCTTGACCAACGGTCGATGGGTCTCCAAGGTCTCCCGGAACAGTGACAGTGCACACAGAGCAGGACCATCATAGAAACCAGCAGCCAGAAGCCGTGCAAGGAGACCTGCCATATTCTCTCGCTGGTCTGGACTGTAGTGGTCCTTCTGATAGTATCGCTCGGTAAACTCCTCGGTCAAAGTCATGGAGAGGAGAGGCAGGCCGGACCAGAGCGTATAACCGTCAGAGAAGGTAATAATTCCCTGCGCGTGGCTGATGCTTTGCACCGAATCTTGCATGGACCCGAGAGCTCTCATAGCCACAAGGTCACGTACAATGATATCTTGACGAAATTCATGTGTGGTAATGTTCTTGCCTGCTTGAATAAGCGTATACCAGGCATCACAGATTAGGCCAGCCAAAGATTCTTCTGACCGTCCTTGAAACATGTACTGGAATGTGATCGACTTGAGGTAGGAATTGATTGTGTCACTAAGAGAGTCCTGCAGGCCGCTTTGGATAACGTCATCAATTTGGGCCCTGCTGAAGGCTGACCATTCTGTAATAGAATCCATGATTGGATTTGATAGGTGAGAAGAGAGGTAAGAGGGAGTGTAACCGAAGCTAATTTGAGATGCGAAGTGATGAATGTGAATGGGGGTCCGAAGTGCGGTTGCGTATCTATAAATTGTGTGCTGCGGCGGAGGCAACAGTCTTAAATGAATTCTGGGGACTTCCCCAAGCAAAGCGCATAACCGCACTGCCCCTGCACTTAGCGCCCCGTGCGACCACATGATCTGTTGGTGGATGATAATATGTACTCCGTATGTATGGCTGCATTATGCTGTTGGTAATATTAGGATGATGAGTTGCTTCTAGTAATCTGCCCCCTAGGCAGAATTATTGCTAATCTTTCCTTTAACGACTTAGGCAAGGTAGGGGGAGGGGGAGGTAGGGTACTGCTGGTTGTATCAGACGGCGTGTCTGAGGCCAGAGGCAGCGATGGTCTATCAGACAGTGGCAGCTATAGTATTGATGTTGATGGCGAGAATCTCCTTACTGATGTTGATGCTCACCTTGTAGGCTAAGATAGAAAATACTAAGGATAGAATATGGATGTACTTCTTAGGAGGGATTAAAGGTTATCCCCAGAGAATTAAATAGCTATATAACTGAGCTGAACAAGAAAACGGTCAGACATTAGTTTCTCACGGTAGTTAACTTTTCATGAGATGACTTCGGTGACACCGTCTTGGCCAACAAATGTACTGGAAATAAATCTTAGGGTCGCCGCCGTCTATATCTAGCTGTCTTGTTGGGCCTATGACCAACAACTCTAGAGGCCCTCGTGTCCCTGTTCCAAGCTCCACCAAGTGCTGACATGAAAAGACGTTGTTGGTTCGAAGATCCGTGTAGAGAAGTGCAAATTAAGATAATACTGATGAATCAGAAAGGTAGTAGAAAATTAATATAAAAGGCCACTTCATGTCTCCTCGTTTTCTATCGCTTCTCCTCTGGTCTAGTCTAGTCAATAGCTACTACGACGACAAAACGGGTCTCAAAACCACTTTCCCTCTCCTACCCTCTAGAAATGTAGACTACAATTGCTATCCTTCTTATGGGCCTCGGCCTTATTGGTAGGACCACAGCCAAGGTGTCACACACAGATCCTAACGAGGGATTTGTAACCGGTGAAAGTTCTATCAACTCACCAAGATCGACTGTCTCTTATTAGAAGCACGTAAGCGCTCTATAGCGCGTGGCCGACTGTGGAACTCGCTAACTTAATCGCACGCATGATGTAGAACTGCGGCAAGTTTTTCAACCAATGTACTTACCCTTGTTATCGAAAGGACGGTTGGCATACCTACGCCAATGGAGATCGTATTCAGTCGTGGCGAATGCACTCCGGGTGTCAGAGCTCGGGCTCTCCAAATCACGAGAGAAGCAATCGATTCCGGTAAATGGACTGGGGCTATCCATTTCTGACTTGGTGCAATGATGATACAGTGTAAAAATGATGGAGATCCATGCGTTGATAACTTCAGACCGGCTGGGTTGACTCTATGTTCAAAAAATGCGTCAGGCGGGGAACAGTTCAAGTAACCAGCTCAGACCGCGCCCAAGCAGCCAGCCAAGGCCGCGCCTCAGAAGAAACCAATCCACAAGAAAGTCCGGCGCAACCTTCGTACCAGAAGAGCTGGCAGGCATTGACGATGAAGGCCCATAGGCTACGCTACCTCAAGCTACCTTGACTCGTGTTGACAGGAAGGAGTGTGCTACTTGAATCGAATTTTCAATGTTTAGAGGGGGCTTGGGGGTAAGCTTAGCACTCTAGAATTGCTTATCACGCTTCACTTTGCCCACAAACCACTAGCCGCCACCGGGATTATATTACCGCAACATGGGTAGAGCAGCACACACGAGCAGCAGGGTGAGCTTCTCTCGTTAAATTCATGTCAACATAGCCACAATGCCGTCTGTTCGTGCATTGTTGTTGGAACGTAGCATGAGAGATTGAGAGATTCAAGTGTATTCTTAGGTTATCTGCATCCCTTCCGGACCATCCGGAAGACCTTTATCTGAATACAGGAAGCTTATCACCGCAACGCCTCTAATCAAGTGGGACATCCATGACCGAACATCGGGAAGCAAGGAGAAAGGCAAGGGTAAAGAGACGAAGGGCGGGTCATAAGTTCAGACCCCTGAAAAGCAGGCGGGGAACAAGGACCAAACATCAGGAAGTGAGGAGAAGGGCAAGGCTAGAGAGACGAAAGTAGAGCACCAGGCGCCAGATCTGGGGCTAAAACTGGACAGGAGCCTTGGTAACCGTTGGTATGACCCCAAGGTGGCTACCACAATCATCTTCCTTTGACTGGAGCTGAGGCTTTCGTCGGCACGGCTTGCGGCGTTGTTGGTTGGAAAAGCGCGCCGGTACTCAGTAAGCTGGGAAGCCAATACTAGCATAAACTAAAGTAAGAATTATAGACATAGGTATGGGAGTTCAAGCAGTATGATTTATATGGAGTAAGTGTAAGAGTTCAAGTAGCTCAACTTACATAATAAAAGATCATGAGGTAGGCCTAGTCAATCTAAGATGATGGCTATATGCTAGGAAGACCCCATGAACCTTTATATTACTAACTAAATCGAAGGAATTGAATCTCGAAGGCTAACAATTGAAGAAAATGTCCAATCGTCTGCATATCTCTGGAAAGAGGGAAAGGCGCTTGATGTGAACCTTGGCCATGATAACCACCCGACAATCGAATGAGCCTCAACAACCCTCTAGATCGGGTTAGAGAGATATGGTTTGATCTCAATAGGCACAAATATGACTAAATATACTACTGTCTGTGCCAGTCAAGTAGGGCTCAGTCTTGAATGAGTGACGAAGCGTCAGACGTTTCTATCATACTTATACCAGCGGCAGTTTTCAGACTCGGACTAACAGGAAGAGAGGCCTCCCATACCTTGCTGGCCCTAATGGACATAGGAAGAGAGTTTATTCTTGTATTGGAAATGCCATGCCTATCGGCCTGTTCGTTTGAGGCTGTTTGATGCACAATTCTCCTATAAGACCTCTTAAGTCCGACACCTCACGCAGTGTAGGCTTCAAACATATAGTGCCTTGTAGATCACCCACCGCCGTTAAAGCTGTTCACGAGGGTTGAAACAACTGACTGTATTTCTCACGATGCCGGTGAGGGCTGTAGGGTATAGCGTCATAGGATTCGCTTACACATCTCATCTCTTCAGATTATATAACGTCTTTCTGATTTAGGGCACGTTTCTTATTTTAAATACGAGTAAGGTTCTTATGCGACCACTCATCATCCGCCATCGAGCGTGGCAACAGGAATAATCCCCGCGTTTGGTACAGGGCTCGAATCCGGGAGACCGGGTTTGTCGTCCAAAGAACCGTACTTTTCTCGCCCGGATTTCCGCCACGGAGTTCACGTGTGCCAAAGTTCCCGATCAAGTAAGATTTAAGGGCTCCGGTTCAGTAATATTTAATATCTACATTTGCGGTAGCCATCCGCGGTGGCTGCGGGTTGATCCTACGAAATATGCATGCCTTCCATCACACCGCATCCCCCTGTCGTGTTGAACCAGAAACAGCGGAGGATTGAGGTCAGCGAGAAAACAACCTCCCATATGCCACAGCTCTCTCCTAAAGCGTCCATCGCCGAAAGGTTGTATGACTATGGGTTTTATTACAACTGTACTCATCCGAACCTTTTCTCTGTTCATTATCAAGTTTTTTTATGTACATTATTACCTAAAATAATTCCTGATTATACAGGTAGCTAGGTAGTTACACCGAAGGTGAGGAGACAGATCTATGCAATATTATAGGTCATCGGATCTGAGAGGCCGCCAGGACTTTACACACCTTGCCAATCATTCCCCTAATTTGGTAGATTTATACCACATTCTGAGACTAAAGGGATTCCCGCGGCCAGCCAGGAGACCCGTGAAGGTAACTTCAGCTGGTCTTGATGAGTAAGATTGCTTTTCAATACGGAGTCATCCGGAGACCATACCACGAAGCGAGATTGGCTTTGAAACATAGGTGTATCACTCTGATAGGTTTGGCATGCAACTCAAAGAGCTGGAACTGCGAATTTGTACCTGCATTCTGTTTCCAAGTTGCTAGAAATAAACTTTATCGCATTCTCACCAATAAACAGTAGCATGGTGAACGAAAGAAGAAGTCCTTCCCGAGGTCACATCCGCGGGAGCTGACGAAACCATCCCAAGGTGGTGTGCTGCGCACGCGAGCCTTCACTTAAACTGGCTGCATGTTACGTATGCGGTAAGAAGGAGTTTGGATCTTTGGGGCACACCATCAGCCCTACCCCGGTATATTTGCAGGGTTTCTGAGGTGCTGTGCCTCTTGTCAGCCAAACCAACTGCATAGCCTTCCGGACTTCCCCCAATCAAGAGCTGGGATCGCGCATCATCGGTGCTTTGCAAAGGGAATAGATGCGCGAACCGTTTGATGTAATTTTAGACCCATCTGCAGGTCGAGAGAATGTAGTAATAATGATTGCATCATGTTGGCCAAGCTGGAATCACCAAGTTGACAGGCACGTAGTAAGTATACTTTGTTTTAATTATAGATTTGGTTGGAGTGTGAAGAGAGATCATTCATAGATATATAAGTCATGATGATTTGCCTTCAAATTATAGTTATTCATCAAGTCAATTCATTCAACAAGTATAAAAAAAACCTATTATCGAATCGGTCTTTTCCCTTCTCTTTCATATTTTCCTTTAACTTTTCCTTTATCAACTTTTCCATTCATCTATTCAAAATGGTTGCCATTACTCCAGCCCTTCTCACCAGCCTGTCCATCCTGGGGATGGTTCAGAGTGCCATCGCCAACTCCGCCACGGAGGCCGATTCCTTGGCCGTTGTGCGAGGCATCTCGGACACGGTGTCCGACGAGGTTTACCACGACAAGCGTGCCACGGGTAAGCTTCCTAAGCCTATCCGCAAGGCTGGACAAGCCGCCATCAAGGTCGGCCAAAAGCTTCCAAGTCCCGTCAAGAAGCAAATCAAGGCTGCCGCTGGCGGTGCCGAGAAGAAGGTCGTCAAGGCAGCAATCTCTGCCTCAAGTGCAAAGAACAAGATCAAGAAGAAGCTTGGAAAGCGTGACCTCGAAGATCTGGAGGTCTACTACAACACGCGGGCCACCGGCAAGCTTCCCAAGCCTATCCGCAAGGCTGGACAAGCCGCTATCAAGGTCGGCAAAAAACTTCCAAGCCCCATCAAGAAGCAACTTAAGAATGCCGCTGGCGGCGCCGAGAAGAAGGTCGTGAAGGCAGCCATTGGCGCTTCCAAAGTGAAGAACAGCATCAAGAAGAAGCTTGGGAAGAAGGACCTTGAGTCCGGAGATATTGAGATCCTCGTGAGCCGTGACGTGATTTCCGACCTCATCGCTCGCTCCGTCGCCGAAGGTTGGGACTCTGAGATTTACTACGATAAGCGCGCCACCGGCAAGCTCCCCAAGCCTATCCGAAAGGCTGGACTGGCTGCCATCAAGGTCGGCAAAAAGCTTCCAAGTCCCGTCAAGAAGCACCTCAAGGCTGCTGCTACCGGCGCCGAGAAGAAGGTCGTGAAGGCAGCCATTGGTGCTTCTAAAGTGAAGAACAACATCAAGAAGAAGCTCGGCGGCAAGCGAGACCTCGGTGAGGATTACGATGTTGAAGTTCGTGACTTTGACGACGAGGTCTCATGGGAGTGAAGACTTTCGTCTGCGGAACCCTCTTTATCTTCATTTTCTCGAAAACATATACCCACTAGCGCATTTATCTCAAGGGATTGGTTCAGCATTTGACGGTCAATTTACATGTAGAAACCTTTCTTTCATTTTTGTCCCATGTTTCTTTCTTCCTTTTCTTGTTGTTATTATCCTTCTCCTTTTTGGATAGTTTCGAAATTTACTCTTATTCGGGCTTAGAAAACCATGCCCATTTACCATGATCATTTTATGAGAAGTGACCATTGAACCTAAAACTTGTGAGTAAATGTCGCCCAACAAGATTCTACTAGAGGATGCTAGATCTGTGGGTTGTAGAGGCATTTCGCTCGTGCGACTCTACTAGGACATTCTTAGACGTCTTCGATATTCTCATTGAATCTCATATAATAATCATATGTGAAGAATTCGTTTCCGGAGCAAAGCATTTGGCTTGATTAAATTTTGCTGTAGCCTCAAGTTGGACTTTTCTAAGCTAACTTCAATACTTTATCTAGATATATCTGAATTATTGAAGTATGGGATACCACGTACATGTACATGACTCGAGGTAAACACAAGTTCAAGTAGACAAAGTCCTAGTCGTCGCTACCAAACAGGCCACCAGGGCGAAAAGATCGACCGTGAGAGACCGGATCATATGGATGTGCAGCCACTGTCGGAGGGTGGGCGTCGGCTCGCCGTTCTGCAACCCCCTGATCTTGGGCAGGATGGACGGCACAAAGAGGAAATGGCCCGCCGCGAAGGCCATGCTGGCTACGTACCATGAGTAGGCGCCGCTGGTGCGCAGGACCTCCTCCGGCGTGGTGTAGAGAATGGCACCGATGGAGCCGATCGTGCCGAGGAGCGGGGCGACGACGAAGGGCACAACGGTGTCGATCATGATCTTCCAGTATGGGGTCAGAACGTGTTTGGCATTGGTCTCGACCTCTTTTTGCAGGAAGATTCGGAGGAAGAGGCGCTGGTCATTGGCGAGCACTGAGGTAGTTGTAGTGGTGACCACTGGGACGAGATGCAGTATGGACATGATTGGATGTTGGTTGATAGATCAATTCTTGGAAGCAAAGGGTAAACGTTCTGCTGGTACCACAAGATATACGCTTGCTGATGCTGCGTGAGAATGGCTTCGCTCTTGGAACGGCAGGTTTGTTTTATGCTAAACGCTCCGGTTAATGCCCGGGCTCACTGATTCAGCTTCGCTTATGACCAAATGAGTATAAGCCTGCTGTATTGCTGACGTTGGATAGTGAGGTTGTCCTAAGCTTACTCGTGTCTTGGGCTTTACGCTGGCTTTACGCTGAGATATGCAAGCGACCGACATTAGACTTGGCACACCAAAGCTCTAGTCTTTTACGCAAGTCAGGGACCTTGTTTTTCTTATTAATACTACTAAACATAATAATAAGAAAATTGTAAAATTTTCTACAATATTTAGTTCGATATTGTGTTTATTGTTGGGTTGATTGTTTGAATATTATGTTGAAATCTAACGCTGAAGGAAGGCTCTCCGTGAGCCATGTTTATGTCAGTCCTTTGATATGCAAGGCAGTGGACCAGGGGATTAACAGGCTAAAAACCAATACGTAGTGTTCGGGGAATGAATCGGAACTTGGGGTCTAACGAACTGGGAATGGCGAGAATGCATGATGATATGGAGCACCTGTCAAGTACCACGACACTTTTGGCAGCGCATCTGCGACAGATGATGTCTGAATCAATAGATTCACCTTCTAGCAGGTTTGGCCATGATACACACGCCTGTAGCGTCATGAGAGGCGATGAGACATCCGTAATATGAACTTTGAGCTCCTGGCATTAAAGAACGAAGCTTGCTCTTATCGAATGTTGCACTATTGATGATGCTTTAATATTTCCCATGCTTATGATCAATCGATTGTTGACATATTAAATAGTACTATGTAAGACTTTTCACAATTGGTTGTACATCTCGGAGGTGTCGGTATATGTCTGCATGTTCCAGCGAATTGGTGGTGGAATGTTTCATTATGCAACCTTCCCCTCTCCTAGGACATGAAAATGCGACTGTGCCTAGCCAGAAACGTACAGCTGTCCGTGTCAACAAATGAGATTGGACAGAGAGAAATGAGGGGTACATGCATCTCGACTATCATTATCCCATCCCACTGACCGAGTGGACTGACCAAGTGGCCGGATCAATACAAATGGGCCATCATACATCGTGCATGAGCTGAACATGCAGCATATCATCTGCTGACCGCGTTCAGTTTGTTCGTGAGAATAGACCTTCAGCTAACAGGTCAATAAATAAGAGAGAAGACCGACCTTGGTAAAAAAAGCTGTTTAGTATCTAAATACTCCATCCACGGATGCAAACTCACTGCCGACTTCTTCTCGCTATAGCCATCGATAATGATACCGCAATGGCGTCTGACAGACCTGGCGTTCTTCTTGTTGCTAAACTTCGTATCTTGTCTTGACACGTCCCTTTCAGGCAATGAGCCAAAGCGTAACCTGAACTCGGTCAAATCCAGCTATGACTACATTATCGTCGGTGGCGGTACAAGTGGTCTTGTGGTCGCCAACAGACTAACTGAGGACTCTGACAGTAAGTCTTACCCCAAAATCTAAGTTTGGAATGGTAATATATCTCACTCAAGAATTGATATGCTGAATACTGAAGTAGAAACCGTCTTGGTGGTCGAGTACGGCGATTTTGCCAACACCATCAACGTGACGGTGCCATACTTTACAACTCAGGACCAGACACCACGGCTCTACAAGATGACCTCAGTACCACAAGCCCAGCTGAATAATCGTATCACGAACTTGCGTATCGGTAATGTGGTCGGAGGCAGCTCTACCGTCAATGGCATGGCGTGGGATCGAGGCTCCTCTATTGACTATGATTCCTGGGAAGAGCTTGGAAACCCCCACTGGGGATGGAAGACACTCACCAGCTACTTCCGCAAGTCGTCTCAATTCGGACCTCCCGCTCAAGAGTACGTTGATCGATACGGCTACGAGTGGAGTGCTGAATCGTATGGCGACGGGCCCATCCACGCGGGATACCCGGCCTGGCAGTGGCCTGCTGCAGGTAAGACCTGTGAAGGCTGTTCGGTGTTCAAGAAATGACTGATTGACATTGTTGCCTCAGAATTGATGGCCAAAGCTTGGACAGATGACCTTGGCACACCGGCGCTTACAGATGGCGCCGACGGTAGGAACGTCGGCAGCGCTTGGCTACCGATGAGCTCGGACGGTAAAGAGGCGGTGCGGTCATGTGCCGAGACAGCGTACTATAATCCTGTCAGTCATCGGAAGAATCTTGACTTGCTGGTTCGACATTATGGGTCCAGGATTCGATTTCGTGATGGCGTGGTCATAGGACTTGAGATCGTCAATCGAGATGATGCTAAAAAATCCAAATTCATATCGTCAAGTCAAGTTATCTTGGCCGCTGGGACAGTCAATACCCCTCGAATTCTGCAACTTAGTGGTGTCGGGCCAAAAAGACTTCTCGATATCTTGAACATAGACGTCGTCGTGGACGCGCCCGGCGTTGGAGCCAACTTCCAGGACCATCCTTCCTTTTTCGTGGTATACGAATGTAAGAAAATCTTTCTCTTCGATGGTTTGTATTGTGCTGATGACACTGAAAGTTAAAAACAATACGGCTATCAATCCGGATTCCATGAATGATCCCGACTTCTACGACGCAGCTTGGGATGAATACACTTCAAACAAGACTGGACCCTTCTCTCACGCATGGGGCAACCGCGTTGTGTTCCAATCTGTCAAGGATCTAGATCCGGAGTTCCATGCCATCGCCGACAGCTTAGACGACCAGGATCCGTTGTCCTTTTTGCCCTCCTTGTATTCAGACAATCCATCACTTCTTCGAGGATTCCTGCGACAGCGATCGACACTCCAGGCGCAGTTCCGCAATCCAGAGGCGGGTGTGTTTGAGTATGCATTCGGTGGAGGTGTCAACGTCGTCGTTGCTCTTCAGAAACCGCTGTCTCGCGGCACCATCTTCATCAACAGCACGAACGCAGACCCGTCTATCCCGCCGCTCATTGATTTTAACACGATCTCGAACCCTGTGGATCTCCTCTTGGCAAAACGGGCACTGGCAAAAGCAAGGGCGTTCATGAGTGCCGAGAGTGTTGTCTCACTCGAACCGGTGGAGGTCTCTCCGGGGCCGGATGTTCAATCAGAAGCAGACGTGGAGAGGGTGATGAGAGAGTCATTGATGGGTCCCAGCCTTGATCACCCCGTGGGGACAGCTGCCATGATGCCCCGGGAGCTGGGAGGCGTGGTGGACACGAGGCTTCGAGTGTATGGGGTGGAGGGTTTGTCGGTGGTGGACGCGAGTGTGATGCCGTTGCTGCCGGCTGCGCATACACAGGCGACTGTGTATGCTGTGGCAGAGTATGCTGCGGATATCCTCCGATCTTGACAAATGAAGATTAACGACGTTCAATCGCTTCCCATGGCCCTGTTCTGTACCGTCGCTCGATAGTATGGCAATATGATGATCTCCATTCATCCGTCAATGTAGTAAGCCTTCATGAATAAAGTAAGCCGATATATATTGCATCAAAAGCTCCATGTGTAAGACTGATCGAGAGAAAGAACGAAGCGCAATCAAGCCAGACAGCCAAGGCACACACGAAGCGTCAATGCATCTCGGAGAGGGAAATCAATAGTGCCATAGTGCTCTCCAAGGTCACGATTCAAATCAAACTCCTCCCACACTTCTTCACAATCAGTGACTTTAATGACACCCTCTTTGATCGTGACACTAGGCGGGATATTCTTTAAGCTCAAGGATTTGCACCCGTAGAAGATGGCGATGCCGCCAACCTCCAGACGCTCAGGCAATTCCTTCAAGTCCGTGGATGACACGCTCAGGTCGCCACCCACATATGTGTCGCTCTGCAGTTCTACGAAGTGGGTGCGATACCAAGTCGACGAGAGCGTAAAGTCGCCGCCGACCACAAGGCCGGCGGGCAGATGCAGGTCGAAACAGTTGTATATGTACAGCCCGCCCTGCACCTCAAAGCCGGGTGGCAGGCTGCTGAGCGGCGACTCGCTGAGGGTCAAGTCGCCCGGGTAGACGAGATGCTCCGATGGAGGCCCGGCTGTCATCTTTGCCGCCAAGTCACGACGGGCAGCGATCTCAGCTTGTGAGAGGTTTGGCTCATCAACCCAGGCTTGCAGGTCTGTCGCCGTGAGCACTGGGCGAGGTCGCGATGGCGGGGAAGGGGGCTTTGCCGGCGAGGATCGAGGGGAGGATAGCGCACGACGAATGCGACGTCTTAATGTGGTAAACATAGTTAATGCAATTACTGGCTCTTGTGAGGAAGAAACAAAATCAAAAATTAAGAGTTCCAGAGACGTCTCCCTGGCGTCACCCCACGTTTAGGTCTAACTGCGATGCTCAGGAGCTTTACTTCAAACTCTCTAGTCCGCGGCTCGACGGCTTCTTTTCTCTCTGGGTTTGTGGAGCAGGCACCCTAATACACCCCACTCCTGGGTTCGGCTCAGTGGCTCAGGCTCTCTGGCTCTGGCTCGTCGGCCTCCAATACTGGGTCCTCTCGTTCTGGCAGCGCCTCTTCCTGCGGGGTCCGGAACTCTCAGGTGCTAACAGTCCACTAAATCATGACACGACCCAGAGTGGCTCGGCACTGGGTTTATACCTGATGAATGCAGCTATTGGGTGGCCAAGAACATTGCATCTTATATAGGTACTCTATCTGGACAAGTGGGTGAAATAGAATATAGCATATCTAGACAGTTCAGCATTGAATTTCAACATAATATCAGAACAAGTAACATAGCACCGAATACAATATCAAGCTAAATATCATAGAATAGTTTATCATTCTCTTATCATTCTCTTATTATTCTATTTAGTTGAAAACGGAGGTCCCTGCCTTACACGGAAAGAGCTTTGGTGTGCTACGTTTTATTTCACCCACTTGCTGGACTGCATGACATCTTTTAAACAATAGCTCAATCGTGTAATTATTTTCTCATGTGAACACATATAAAACTAGCACATCTCGAATTTGCTAAATATAATTCTACTCTGTCAATCCTGCATTTACGCAATAGTTAATTCCAACTTTCATCTTATCATTAAATTTGCCCCCTTTTGGTCTTTGCGCTAGGACTAAACACACGTCTGAATAGCACACGATATGGTAAACATATCTTAGTTATTAGTATATCTCGCGAGGAGAAAAGGAATAAAAAATTAAAAGCCTTAGAGAAATCTCTCTGCCGGCACCCTTAAATTAGGTCTAACTGCGGAAAATCTCAGGATCTTTCCTTCAGACACATCTTTTGTCCGCGGCTCAATGGCTCTAGCTTATCTAGGTCGAGCCGCTACATAACGACCAAAAAGACGCATTGAAAGCCTGGTGGGAAGAGCCTGCGCCTGAAAATAACAGAGCTCTCAAGCCCCCAGCCACTACAAGAGGTCTACCGGAACTGACGCTCTCCCGGAGCACTCTTCATGACCTCCTCGCTGCTTGATCGCAGCATGGCGATTACACAGATTACCACGAGTGTTTTAACCCCGCCGATACGGCTTTTCTGCTCATGCGGGTGACGGAAAGCACTGAACTATATCTTCTCTTTGCTGGACAGTACCACCATGTCGTCGGAAGCCTGAACCTCTCGTCGACTGCAGCAGTCAGTTGTGCAATAGGCAAGAACTTCGTTCGTCAAAGTAGCAAGCGCCAGCGCCTTCTCTGAGAAAGTCTGTCCTGGCTACTAGATGCAGGAACATCAAACACGCACATCCGTGCAGAACTTCTCTTGTTCCGTCCCTCCTTTCCCCGGGCTCGGTCAACTGTCGGGCGTTCGCAGTGCCTTCCAGCCAATGATCACTCTAAGGCCACCTCAATTCATGATGATTATCACCTTGCTCTCTTTTCTATCCGACTAGTTACAGAAGTATTTCAAAGTGACATTGCCTATAGTATCACATAAATGAATCGCGGAGCTTTTCCGCGGGTGCCGCGGAGTCCGCTGAGTCTGGCTATGAATCCGAAACTTCCGCTGATACAATTATGATACAAATTGATGGAATTTTATTGGACTTTGAAAATGGGTATCGAAGATCTCTCCCTATTCAGGACATTAGATATGATTCAGTGACAATAGTTGTGGAAATACAAAATATCAAAGATGCCTGAAAAAAGGAGTGCCGGGTCACAATTTGTCGGATCCTTGACTACGATCGCAGCCATGAAGATTCCTGAGAACCTCACAAAATTGCAAAATGAAACCTCCTCAAGAAATGCACTCAGTCTAGTACAGCTGATCAGCCAAGTAAAATGGCAGATACTAGGCGTCCTATTGATCACCTTCATTACCTACCACTACATCACCAACAGACCGCCTCGCGTCCCCATTGTCCTCGAGAAAGAAATCCCAAACAAGCTCGAACGACAATCCGCTTTCTTCTTCAATACCTTCAATGTTCTTCAGAAAGGCTACAAGGAGTTTGGCGACAGGATTTGGGGCATCGACACGAACCAAGGACTGCGACTCGTCTTGCCGTTGCGTTACCTAGATGAGTTAAAGAGCCATCCTGCGATCAATTTCGCTGACTCGATTAGTCGCCATGCATTGATTGAGCACACTGGCCTTGGAGGACCCCCGGCAGCAGCTGTGCACATCTTCAAGGCGAAGCTCAACCCTACCTTGTCAGAGTACCTGCCGGTTTTCCACGACATCATCAAACGTGAACTGCCACTCGCCTTTCCGCAAAATGAAGACTGGACCGAGTGTTTTCGAACGAATGCTTCGCATCGTAAGCGTCATGTCTGCAAGAGCGTTCTACAGCGCCGAAGGGAGCAAGGACGAGCACTGGCTGGAGCTTTCGCAAGCATACGTTTCGACTGTCCTCGATTACCTTCAAAAGCTGAAGCGGTGGCCCGAGTTTTCACTTCCTCTTGTCAAATTGATTCTGCCCGAGAGAGCAAAGGTGATTCAGCAATGGAACCAAGCTCACGCCCATCTTCCGAAGACCCTCGAAGCAAAGGCCAGCGGCAAGCAGGGCAGCCCACCATCACTGCTTGACTATCTTATAAACGGCAGAAAGTAACCGTGGACGAGATGATTCATACACAAATGGCGTTCGTGGTGGCTGGAATCCATACGACTGCGGCGGGGCTCACCTAGTTCTTGTATGATCTTGCTGTACGTTCGGAGGATATTCCCGAACTGCGAGAGGAAATCCGCCAAGTCTATGCGGGCTGCGAGGGGGCCTTCACGAAGAAGTCCCTCGGCGAGCTGAAGAAGTTGGACAGCTGGATGAGAGAAAGCCAGAGACTGTGTCTCTCGGTGTCCAGTAAGAGCACCCAGCTCAATCTGGTCAACCGTCTTTACTAATCTTTTTCTCAGCCACTTTCCAGCGCATTGCAACAAAGCGATTTCGTCTCTCGGAAGGCCTGTATATTCCCAAGGGTACCCGACTGGAGGTCGCGGCCACAAGCGTCCACGTCGACGAGGCATTCTACGAGGACCCGGAGGTTTTCGACGGGCAGCGTTCCTTCAAATTGCGACAGGGAGAATCGCAGGCAATGAAGCATCAGTACATCAGCACCGGTAGGACCGATCTTCGATGGGGCTACGGTCGACACGCGTGTCCGGGAAGGTTTCTGGCGGATGCCGAGATGAAGATGCCGCTGTCGGAGCTGTTGCTGCACTTCGATGTTAAGAATCCCGAGGGGCAGGGAAGACATGCGAACATTGCCTTTGACAATAATGTGAGTTTTTGTGCCTGCTGCTAATTTATGAACGGGCTGACAAGGAGACTTAGGTCATGCCCGACCCTACAAAGACCGTCATGGTGAATTCGGTGAAGGGGTGGTAGAGGATTTCTATGGGGAGCATCGGGAGGTTATGCTTCGGATGTTGTGGGATGGGAACTAATGCTGTACTTCCGGGTTGTTGGGCAGTCCTAGAATCACCCCGATGTGTTGGTTTGGAGACTGTAGCTGTAGCGTCACCTCTCATTTGTTCGATGAACGGATAGCAAATTGAGGTGTTGCAAAGCCAACATCTACAACGCCTGATGGAGATAACTGAACCTGTTGAGAATAGGTTGTATTGTGACTAGAGCTACGCTCTCCATGTGGTTGGCTGCCAAGCGATCGCGCAGAACCATCAAAAGTTCACGCTGAACCAACAGCGGACTCGGAACATATGAAGAAGCCGCCAAGCTCGGCTTCAATACTTTATATTTGATCTGTTCCTATCATGTTTTGGTCAGCCTTGTGGCTCGAGTGAAAACCGCATTGGGTAGTGGAACCTGTGCTCGCGTTGAACAGTCAAAGGCCTGGATGCGCCTCTCGTACCATGACCGCCTAATGCAACTTAACAGAGCAGCGACCTCTGAGCACATGAATAAAAGCACAATATTTTGGTAGTATTATGTTCTTGTTCAGATTCGGAAAGCCTCTCTCAGGTTAAATTTTCAGCATGGAGACACCGAACTTTGGAATCACGCTGGAAATACTGGCACCAGACGCTGACTCGACGCACCAAAGTGTCTCCCACGGCTTAATGGTTTGGGATCGATGGCGCTTGCGCGAGACGAGGACTTGAAAACTACAAGTGGTGCCCTTTGCTCCATGTATGTGTGCCCGAGCAAACATACATTCACCCATGGGGTTGGCGTTACTCCGCACTTGCCCAAAATCCTGGCACCGCAGCCCATATTTTGCCACTCTTCCAAGCATTGGGGCTTAACTCAAGCCATGCTAGGCAAAGGATAGTGTTAATCAATGCACTTTATCTAAATCACATTGATGTAAGTAGATGCAATATGTATAAGGAAACAGTAGTAAGTGTTTCATTCTATATGGACCTTGGTTTAAGTTATTTGCAGCATTTATAAGCGAAATAAGCTGGCTCAGAAGCATAGCTATAGCTTAGTGTGCCTTATTCTAGCTCAGTTTTAGCTCAGTCCTAACTGAGTTCTGGTTTGGGCCTCACATAGATTATAGAATCATTGATCATTTTTAAGTACGCAAGTAGACTTTGGTGAGATTGTTTTGTAGGTAGTGTTTAGATGATAAAATTGTACTAAAATGCCGGTGTTATATTTTTGTTCTCCTTTCTCTTCCTGCTTATAGGATCTTGCTTATATGGCTCGTCGAAGAGCAGATGAGGCTCGATGTGCGGTAATATTTGGTGCCTATTTAGACAAAAGCTCGTGTACTATATCATATAAAGTGTTGTACAAAGAGCTTAGTAAAGCTTCTGTCATTTCCGGGCGGATAACAATCCTTAGAATTTTCTTATTATCTTTACCACCTAGCAGTGTAGCACCTATAACGTGTTAACGATATGAAGCTTATAGTCACTCATGAATTGTCGAGTTTAACTGACATGGTACACTATAGCCTTTGCGAAACAGTTCCTCACTTAGTTTCTCTTCAGTGATCAACGAATGATTTTGTTTAATGTCGCTTTCGATGGATAAGGCGATAACAGGTAATGCTAGAGCAGTCAGTCTGCTAGATTTATCCGCCGTCCCCGTGTGCTTTAGAGTTTCAGTGCCTCCTAGATTCTTGAACCATCCTGTTGATTCTAGCAAGGTGGCCAGTTGACGACATTGGTCAATACAGTAATTCGTAGATCGTTCAAACCCTTGTCGACCGAGTCGCATTAAATTGTAATACTGTACCACCAGGGCATAGCTTGACTGGGAAAAGGTAAGGGTACAACTTGAATTATCACCTCTCAAATATGAAGATCGATAAACCATCCCATCAGGAAGGCATTGGTCATCTCTCCAAATAATCCAGCCAATTGTTGGAGGGGTCATGCCAAACTTGTGCCCCGAGGCATTGATGGAGTCGACGTATTGGTTCGAGAAGTCCCTTTGAAAACATCATGTATTTGTATCTATCCTTCTAAAGGAATGTTTATTTGGAGCGTTACTTACCAGCGGAAGTCGGGCCGATTCAAAAATGGGGCAATGAAGCCACGACTGGCGGCATCAACGTGAATAGGAATTCTATGGCCTGTTCTTTCTTTGATACGGCCCAGAACACGACTATCGTCATCAACGGGGTCAAAATGCCCTGTATACGTGTTGCCCAAGGTCATAACGACCCCAACTGATACCAAGTCAGTAGAATGACATTTGAATAGGGGTAGAGAATACATTACTAGTATTGTCATCAACAGATTCCTCCAATTTTTCCGAATCAAATCTATATTCATCATTGGATACAACAGGTACTGTGCGTACTAGCACACCACATGCCTCGGCGCCTTTCTTCACAGCGACATGAGCATGGCTGCCTATCACAATATTAGCACAAGAGATGCTATTCGTAGTTTCCCTCGACTGGTGTTTTGCGGTCCATCGAAGTTTCAATGCTTGTATCGCCAAGAAGACAGCCTCGGAACTCCCTGAAGCAGCAGAGCCGACAGGGCTTTTCGACACTGGAGCTCTCCAGAGATCAGCGATAATTGATAAACAGGAAGAGTGCATTCTGGGGGCTCATCAGCTCAGTACATCGTATTAATTACACGTTGGACGAAATCTTACTGGGAGAGAGACGGATACTCCTGGCAACAGGCAAGATTCTTCGTATGAGTCTCCAGTACAAGCCCCTCTCCCACCTTATCGATCCGGGTGGTCACAAAACTAAGATAGATAAGCCAGGATAACACAATCTTCTATGATAGATGTACCTTCCGAAATTATGATTCGGTTTGATATCCATATTCATGAGACTGAGAATCTCATCTTTGACAATCTCTGGTTCTGTACTGAACGAGTTAAACTGAGAAACAGGTGATAGCCAATTCATGATAGTAATAGGGTGTTGTAAATTTGATGAATAAAGTGTGTATAATGAAGAGTATTGTCATTTTCGGCTAGGTTGGTTAGCTATATATAGAGGGCTTCCATATTAGATGAAGCACGACGGTGTCAGAGCTAATGCCGATATAGGTTCTATTGGTGATAAAAATCATGACGTCGAAATACACGAGATTTCATATAGTCAGTCTCTGTTATGCGGACTGACGTATACTCGGCTGAGGATCATTGTTTGATATGTGCTAATACTTTGTTTACGTGGCACTGCCTTGTATATCTGGTTGAGTTGGGCATCAAAAAAATAGGACTTAGCCCCAAGGTACACTATCTCATTTCATGCCAGAACTTCCTGATCAGATAATGATGATGTCAGGTCGCTTAATTATCAGACTATGCAATAAGAATCTCCTGATTCAATGACATATATTCGTCATACACTTGGAAGGAGAGGGGATTAGAAGACATACTAATCCAATGTTTGACCAAAATTCCCTCTCAAGAGGCCTCCAGATTCTGTAAGATGTCGTAGATGGTGCGGTCTAAGCTACATGTAATGAAAGACACGTAATACTTGCATTGAAATTCTGTCTTCCTACAAGCTATCTCAGAATCAACTGTTCCGCTGTATGTCACTCGTGCAGCTCCCCTGTCCGGCAGGCAAGAAGGAACCTTTCCAAGTCGTCCTCCCACCCAAGCAATCGACCTTCCATTCCATATCGAGACAGCCTTGACTTATAAATCCTGCTAGACTGCGTCATAGACCGCTTGTGGACCTGACGGACCTTGCGAAAAGATTGGCGTGATTAGAAGGCCTTCATACCAAAGAAAATATTAATAACCCTAGCACTTTCGGAAGTTAATTCTCGCCGCAAAAACTCTTACGAGATATAAGTTATTTGAGCTACGGCTAATATTATAGTCCGTCATTGCCAACTGAATAATTCAAACAGTTTTCTAAATACCTCGCACTAGGGCCGATAAGAATGGCATCGTCAACATTTCCTGGTCAAAGTACCTCGGACAGGGAAATATCGCCTAATACCAAACCTGAGACACAACTCCGGGCACAATGGGCCGTCAGCGATCTCGCGTCCTTCTGGCAAGGCCATGATGTCGGACCGGAACATTTTTGTCTTTCTGCATTCGTGGTGATCCTCTATCATTTAGCCGGAAGCAGCACGTTTTCTTTCAAGTACAGAGATAACGCGGCGCAGAATGATGAGACGGACCCGAGCTATCAGCGTATTGCCCTCACCATAGACACAGCGTCAAATCCTTTGCAGCTGTGTCGAATGGTACGTGACCAGCAAATCCTGAAATTTGAAGACACCGCGACCAAAAATACACCTGAAAAAGAGAATAACGTACGATCAATGAGAGAGATGAGTCTCAGGTATGAGATCGAATATGCGAAAGTAATTAGCCTAGGTCCCTCCCCTCCCCTCCTAAAAGCGGCGCAAAGCATCTGACAATAAGGCAGGTAAAAGTCCACACTAATTTCCGCATCAGTGATGATTCCATTGAGTTTTTTGTTGAGGATTATGACCAGAAGCACCAAATATTCGATGTGCTGCCCAGCTTGTTGCAACATATCGTTCGAAGCGCCTTGCATAACCCTCAATGTTCAATCTTTGAGGTGGACCTCACAAGCGCATACACCCATTCGGCTTCCCACTTTACCCCAGAGGGCGAAGATGATGAGGAGCACTGTATTCATGGAGTCATTCTAGAGGCCTGTCAAAGATATCCCGAGAGACCGGCTATTTGTTCTTGGGATGGCGATTTGACATACCAAGAGTTGGCATTCATGTCTGAGCATTGGGCTAAATCATTGAGCCATTTCGGATGTTTCAAAAAGCCTATCATCCACTGCTTAAAGCAGTCCAAAACTGGAGCCATTGCATGGTTGGCTGTTCTCCGCTTTGGAGCTCCGTGTGTGCTCACTGATGTCAATATCACCCCGGATAGGTTGGCATCCATTATACGTCAAACACAAGCTACAACGATGCTTTGCGAAGAATCTTCAGCATCGAGATTTGAAAAATACGTTGAGCTGATCATTACACCCAAGGATCTTAATGATACATATCACGATGCAGACAAATCAACGCTCGATGAAATCAGACCAGAGGAGGATGCCATCATTATGTTTACTTCCGGCTCGACAGGCCAACCGAAGGGCGTGGTGCAAACACATAACGCTATCTCTCGCAGTCTCAAACGCGTTTCCAGAGCCGTTGGGCTCGATGAAAAGACGAGGTTTTTCCAATTCGCATCATATTCATTCGACGCAAGTATTTTCGAGGTGTTCGGCCCTTGGTCTGTTGGTGGATGTCTCTGTGTCCCAAAGCCGGACGACAAAGTGGCAGATATATCATCCCTAATGCGAGATCTGCGGGTCAACATTGCTACACTTACGCCAACAATTGCCAACCTGTTATCCCCGCAGGATTTGCCGGACCTCAAAACTCTTTGTATCGGAGGTGAAGCACCTTCGGATACGCTGTGTCATCGATGGGCTTCGGAGTTGGATCTAAATGTTCTGTACGGTACGACAGAAACCGCCGTTTGGGACACTTTCGGGCGGATCTCGGGTAAGGACCTTGTTGCTCAATATATGGGCTTCCCGGTCCAGGATCCCCTCTGGATTGTTCATCCGGAAAATCACCGCCACCTCTCACTCCCCGGTATTGCTGGAGAAATATGTGTTCAAGGGCCAAGTATAGCAAAAGGCTACTTAGGGATGCCAGAACTCACAGCTGAGAGGTTTATCACGGGTCCTATCTGGTTACTAGATCAAACTCGAAAACGGATAGAAAGAGACGACGTCATATACAAATCTGGGGATCTTGGCCGATCACTAAAGGATGGATCTTTTGCACATCTTGGGTGGAAGGATCGTCAAGCCAGCGCCTGGAGTTAGCCGAAGTTGAGGCAGCCTTGAAGCGTTATGTCCCTGACGAATACAAAATTGTTGCTGATATGGTGGAATGGGGGTGCCAGGAACAGCTTTTTGCCTTCTTTGCAGCTGGGCAATTCAGTGCATCTGAGATCAAGATTTCTTCCTCCAAGGACGAAGAAATCAAGGAGGCAGTGAAACACATGGAGGAGCATTACCCGAGATATATGGTTCCTCGGAATTTTCTTGCCATATCCCATATTCCCTTAACCCGCACTGGGAAAATTGATCGTAACCTGCTGGCTGGTCTCGCTGCGAAGAAGCTTGCTGATAAGGAGCAAAATGTGTCCACACCAACTCATGGTCAAGAAGCCAGTGCGGAGAGCACGCAAAGTTTAAAGGAAGTGAACAAGATTATTCAGGACCATTATAATGATTCAAATCATTCAAAAGCACCACACTTGGCAGGGGATTGCAACTTATCTTCTTTGGCTATTGATTCAGTGGATGCTGCATCTATAGCGAGCAAATTGAACAAAGGCTTACAGCTTGACGTTTCAACCACGAGCTTGCTCAAAGATGATCTAAAGACTAGCGATATCCTGGAAGCAGGACGGAAAATTCCCTCGACAGCATGCCCAAATTTTGATATTGATCAATTGAGCAGTGACCTTGAACTATGGAAGTCCAGAATTTGGACTGCCTGCAACCAATCGGTGCTTCTTACAGGAGCCACAGGGTTTCTCGGGAACGAGCTGCTGCACCAGTTATTACTCAAAGCAGCGATTCATAAAGTTTTTGCGTTAATGCGTGGAAAAGACATTCACGATGCCAAACAACGTCTGATAGGGATAAGTAAGGAAGGAGGGTGGTGGGACGATTCGTATACAGATCGGGTCGAGGTCTGGTTAGGCGATCTGTCCCAGAGGCGACTTGGTCTCAGCTTTTGTAATTGGCAAAAGGCTTTCAAAACAGGCCCTCACCTACGGGGCATCGACATAATCATCCATAATGGCGCTGTTGTTAACTGGGCTTCGGGGTTCTCCACCATGGAGGACTCTAATGTGGCCAGCACCTTTGAAATATTGAAAGGCTTGTCACTCTCTGGCGATCCCCCAGCGCTAGTCTATGTGTCTGGAGGTTATATGCCACCCGGATCGGAGGACGAACAAGAATTGCTGAAGAGATTGAGCAATATGCCGGGCTACGACCAGACCAAATTCGTATGCGACCGTATGATTGATTATTTCAACCACAACATCGTCCGGAATAGTCGCTTTGTGTCAGCTATACAGCCGGGTTTTATAGCTGGCTCTACCAAAAATGGGTTCTCACAAGTTGGAGACACAGTCTGGCGTCTCGTTAAATCCTGTATTCTGATGGGCACTTATAGTGTCTTAGATGCAGATAATTGGATCCCTATAGCTGGCGTGGATCAAGTTGCTGCTATTACTTTACACGCTGGATTTGAAGGTGTGGAGGGCGGGAGCAATCATTTGAACATTTATGGTGGCATTGTGCTAAAAGACATCTGGGATTTTCTAGTTCAGATGGAGTACAATTTGGAGGCCATTGACCATGAGACATCGTATAACAATCTGCTAGAAGAGATGCAGAGGAAGGGTTCTGAACATCCGATGCATCCCTTGATGGATTGGGTCCAACAAAATAAGGGTATCCTTGGCGATCCTGCACCAGATCAAAGCATGTTTCACGATACCTGTGTTAACTCGCATGAGGCAGTCCACAAGAGTTTGAGCTATTTACACGAGATAGGATACTTTGGTAGGTGAGAACATTAGCGTGATGTTTTCACGACGATTCACAAACATATTGAACGACTGCGGAGGGGTAACAATAGGGGTAGGATGAATTGAACTCCGTCCCGAAGCGACGGCTTCGCATTTTCCCACTAGCTTTACCTACTACTAGCAGTCCTCAGGCTCAATCGGCCCGTGCCTATCGTGTGGCTGGATGCTTATGTAGATCGGGCGGTAGTACAGTGGCAGGACGCCGTTGTCCTAGTATATGGTCAGCGGAATGTAGCGTAGGTACCAACTGCCAAGAGATCCGAACAGAGACGTCCGTGGCGATGGGAGATGAAACCACAGCCAGATCAGACTTATTTCTTTTTTTAGTATATTAAAAGCTATAATTACTACTTTATTAGTATTAAAAATAGCTTACCCTATTAGTACTATATTTTAATAGGCCTATTAGGTATCTGTAATATCTGGCTATAGGGTATAATAATAACCCTGAGGTAGTAATTAGGATAGCTAGAAGAATAAATAGTATTCTTATAATAATAAGTATCTCTAGGAAGATAGGCTATATTAGTATCAGAAGTATTATATACTAGTATAAGAGTAAGTAGTAGTAGAAATACTAGAAATCAGAAAATAATAATTTATATAATTTTTTTCTATTAATTAATATAGATTAATAAATTATTATCTATATCTATTAAAATACTCCTTAGAAAAAATAAAAGAGCTTAAAGTATAATATAATAAACCTAAAGAGGAAAAAAATAAAATAGCTTTAGAACTTCCTAGGAAGTTAAGAAGATCTTTATCTAGGAGTAGTAGTAGCTTATAGTATTATAGCTTATAGTATTAATATAAAGAATAACAGTAGCTATATAGAAATATCTATTAGTTTAGTTCTAGACTATCTTACTAATTATAGTAAATTATATACTCTCTTATATTTATAGCTAAAGAGACTATAGTCTAATATATAGAGTATTATTATAAATTATATTATTATATATTAAAGTTATATAGATTACTCTACTTTTTCTAACTAATTACTAGTAGATTATCAGGATCTTATAAGAATTCTAATAATCTAGGATAATAGATTATTACTAAGTATTAATAATTCCCTAGTATATATATATACTTATTTTATTAGATAGAATACTCTTTTTAGATAGTTATTAATATAATTATCTATATATCTATTATTACTAGCTCTATAATACTTATATATTAATAATAACTTATATTATATAGCTTATAATAATCTAATTATACTATTTAGAATAATACTCTAATTAATTTAATTCTAATCTACTTTAGATCTAGTTTAGTATAAGTTATCTAACTATTATATATTAATAACTTTTATTTAACTAATTATCTTATTTTAATTACTATATAATAATAAAGAAAATATTATAACTATTATAGTTCCTCTAGTATAATAATAGAACTCTATTACTAATAATCTATCTACTCTAAATAATAATAATAATACTATAGATAAAGATAGTAATAATAGTAATAGTAAGAGTAATAATAATATTAAAATTAAACTTCTATAAATATAAATTCTTTAACTCTAGAAATACCTTATAACTATATAATAAGAAATAGCTATTATTATTACTCTTATAGAATAGTAAGCTATTTAAAATATTAATCTTTAGATCTAGACTTAGACTATAGTCTAGAGAAGAGAATTAGGAGTATTATTTAAGCTACTACTACTTAAAATATTTAATAGAACTTAAAATAAGCTTTAAGGATTTATAATCTAACTTTAAATATACTTTAATTACTTCCCTATTACTTTTAATAATAATAAATAATAAGTTATTTATATTTATTTATAACTTAAGAGAACTATATTTAATTAGTTTAAACTTATTATAAGGGAATATCTTAATAGTTAAGAAAGCTAATAAACTATTAATATTATAATAAGTTTTAATTATTTTATAAAAACTCTCTAATAAATCTTTAGAATTTAAGATAAGAGATATAAAATAGAATATAAGATTAATAAACTCTTTTAAATAGAATTTATCTCTACTTTTAATAGTAAGTATTTCTAGTTTTTAATAAAAACTAGATAGAACTAGAAGTATACTATATCTTATTATTTTAATAAGCTAAAGAAAAAAGTCTAGAAAGAACTCTATAAGGAAAATAGATTAGTAAGTATTTATAAATATATAACTATAGCTATAAGGATTAATAATTAATAATATTACTAATAAACCTATAGTAAAAAGATAATATACTATATTAATACTAATTAACTATAATAATAATAATAATCTATAGTCTCTAGAATATATATAGATTTTATAGAGCTAGAAGCTATAGAAAAATATAAATATTATAATTATAATAAGATTAAGTATATTTTACTATAATACTCTAAGCTAAAAAAGTAGAAGAATTAGAAGTTTACTAAGAAAGATAAAAAGTAGTTAGAAGTAATTAGAAAAACTAAGATTAAGATCCTTAGAATAGTTAGAAAGATTATTTAGAGAAAGAACTCTATTATTACTATAGTTTCTATCTTTTCTAGAGAATCTATTTTAATCTTTTAAAAGATACTAGAACTAAATAAATAATAGAACTAGATAATATTAGAAGAAAACTAATAATATATTAAAGATATTTTTAATAAATTTAAATAAAAGTATAAAAATAAGAAAACTATCTTAGAAGAATATAAATCTTCTACTAAGTATAAATATATATTTTAATATAATAATAGATATATTTTAAGAATAGAAGAAAAATAAGAATAATATTTATTTACTAGAGCTAAAATTAAAACTAAGTACTATAAGCTATATATTTACTATTAATATAAAATATAAAATTAAAACTTAGAATAAAATACTAGATTAGTATTCTTTAGAAAAAGTATTATAGAAATTATTTAATATTCTAATAATAGATATAATAACTCTATCTATATAAAGACTAGTAGTATTTATAATTATAAATAAGAGTTATAACTAATCTATTATAATATATAGTATATAATATACTAGAAAGAAAAAATAATATATAATTTCTTTTTATTCTCTAATAGAAGAATATTAAGAAAGTATAAAATAGTCTAAATATAATAGTTTATTTATTAATATTATAGAATAGAACTATATACTATATTTAAAAAAGATCTAAAAGAATACTTTATTAAATATATATATAAAAAAATATCTATAGAAATATATTAAGAATAGAAATATAAAATATATAAAAATAATAAAATTAGATTATAGTATAACTATTAATAAATAGAAAACTAAATAATTTTTAATTATAATAACTATATTAAATAATATTATAATTAGAAATATAAAAACTATTAAAAAATTAAATAAAAAGTACTAGTATTAGTATAGAATAGTAATAATAATATAAATACTATTAAGCTATATTTTAAATAGTAAAAACTATAGAAATAAAAACTAAAAGAATACTATTTAAATAAATAACTATCTTTAATAGATAGTAGAGAAAGTAATAATATAAAGGAACTAGGAATAATCTCTATAGATAAATAAGAATAGAATAAGAATTATTCTAATAAGAGTATATTAATAATAATTAATAAACTATATAATTAAAAGTATAAATTTATATAGTATATTTCTAACTATATAGAAAAACTAGAAACTCTTAAGAATATTCTTAAATAAATATTTAAAAATAATAAAAATTAGAAATAACTTTAAAAATAAATTAATTAAATAAAAAATAATCTAAACTATTTATAATAGAGTTATAATATAGTATAATATTAATAATAGATTAAAAAACTCTAAAAACTATAAAAATAAAAAGCTCTATATATATTCTTATAGAAATAGAGATTAAAAAGAACTAGCTTATAGTATTTATTAACTATAGAGTATAGAAAAATTATATTTTACTAGTAGTAATTAATTAATTCTATTTACTATAGAAAAAGAAAGAAGAAATCTATATAGTTATAAATATTAAAAATTTAAAATTTAAATATAATAATAAAATTATTAATTCTAAAACTAATTATTTTATAATTAAAATCTAAAGGAAAAAATTTAATATTATTTATAATCTAATATTATTAGGAATTTATAAAATTATACTAAGATTATTATAGCTTTAAAATATAAACTTACTAATTAATTAGTATACTAGCTAGATAGAGTAAAAGAATACTCTTATATATTAAAATTAAAATTAATAAAAATTAAAATTTTATTAGATATTAGAAAAATATATTTATTTTTTAATATCTAAAAGTACTATTATAAAAAATTATAATAATTTATAATAATAAGTAGATATAATAATTTTAATCTTAATAATATTATAATCTAATAATATAAAAAATCTATTATAATAAAAACTAAGATAAATAATATAAATCTTAAAATAAATATAGAAATAAGAAGAACTCTTAGATATAGATTTAGTATTTATTAATTAAGAATAACTAATAAAGAAATAATAATAAGAATATAAAATTAATAGTATTTTAATCTATAGTTTAGCTATACTATTAAGAGTTAGAACTTAAATTAATCTCTATTAGATCTAGTTTTAGAAAATAATTAACTATTATACTAGTACCTCTAATATATATAATAAATACTAGTAATTAAATATAATAAAATTTAACTATATATTATTAAATATAATTAAATATATTTAAATATAACTAGCTATAACTAATAGTAATAAAATATAATTAAAATATTTAGATATAGTAGTAGATATAGAGTATATTCTACTATATATTTATATTATCTAAATATTACTTCTTTAATTTCTATTTTATATTTATATAATATATTTTATATTAAATAGTAGATCTAATTCTATTATAATAAAAAAGGAAAAAAGTAATACTATAAGCTTATATAAATACTTAGTAAATTATATATATTTTAATATAGCTATTAATTATAAATATACTCTTATAGTATTATAGAATTATAGAAAGATATTATAATTTTATTTATCTCTTTAAAGATATCTATACTCTATAG